AGTAGTAGTAGTAGTAGTAGTAGTAGTAGTAGTAGTTGTAGTAGTAGTAGTAGTAGTAGTAGTAGTAGTAGTAGTAGTAATAGTAGTGTAGTAGTAGTAGTAGTAGTAGTAGTAGTAGTCGTAGTAGCAGTAGTAGTAGTAGTAGTAGTAGTCGAAGTAGTAGTAGTACTCGTAGTCGTAGTAGAGTAGTCGTAGTAGTAGTAGTAGTAGTAGTAGTAGTAGCAGTAGTAGTAGTAGTAGGAGTAGTTGTTGTAGTAGTAGTGGTAGTAGTAGTCGTAGTAGTAGTAGTAGTAGCAGTAGTAGTAGTAGTAGTAGTAGTAGTAGTAGTAGTGGTAGTGGTAGTGGTAGTGGTAGTAGCAGTTGTAGTCGCAAGTAAGGGGAGTAGTAGTCGGAGTAGTAGTAGTAGTAGTAGTAGTAGTCGTTGTCGTCGTCGTAGTAGTAGTAGGCGTAGTCGTAGTGGTAGAAGTAGTAGTAGAAGTAGTCGCAGCCGTAGTAGTAGTAGGAGTAGTAATAGTAGTAGTGGCAGTAGTAGTAGTCGTAGTAGTAGTAGTAGTAGTAGTAGTAGTAGTAGTAGTAGTAGTAGTCGTAGTAGTAGATGTTGCTGTTGTTGTAGTAATGGCGGTAGTAATCGTCGTTTCAGTAGTAGTAGTAGTAGTACTACTACTACTACTACTACTACTAGTAGTACTAGTACTAGTACTAGTACTAGTAGTAGGGTCACCCGTCGTCTATGGCCGGCCTGTTTATGGCTGGTACTTTGGTTGGGTTTCTGTACAGGTGTACGAAAACCCTATACAAATTACGCGTCCTTCACACTTGACACTTGACCTATGGCCGGCACGCTGTGAGAAATCCTAAGGAATTCTCGAGGCATCCTCAGGAATTCTCCAGGAAACCGAAGGAATCCCCAAGGAATCCGAAGGAATTCTCCAGGAATCCGAAGGAATTCCGGAGGAATCCCGAGGAATTCATCAGGAATCCTAAGGAATCCTTGGGGAGTCATGAAGGATTCTCCAGGAATCCTAAGGACATCTTCTGGGATCCTAAAGAATTCCTCAGGAATCCTAAGGAAGCCTGCAGGAAACCTAAGGATTTTCCAGGAAGCTTCCAGGAACCCGAAGGAATCCGAGGGAATCCTGAAGGAATCTTCAGGAAATCCTTAGGAACTCTTGCGGAATCCCAGGGAAGCCTCCAGGAAACCTCCGGAAGTGTCAGGAATTTCAAGGAAGTCTCCAGGAAGCCCGAGGAATTCTTCAGGAATCTAAGGATTGCTAAAGGAATCCATCGGAATTCTTCAGGAACCCCAAGGAATTCAGCAGGAATCCTAAGGAATCTCGGAGGAATCCGAAGGAATCTCGGAGGAATCCTAAGGAATCTCTGAGGAATCCAAAGGAATTCGTTAGGAATTCTTATGAAGCCCCCAGGAAACTCAAGGAATCCCTGACGAATCCTAAGGAATCCTTCAGATTCCATAGGAATTCTCCAGGAATCCTTCAGTATTCGTAAGGATTCCTTCGGAATTCTCAAAGAATCCGAAGGAGGTCTCCAGGAATCCTAAGGAAGCCTCCAGGAATCCTAAGGAAGTCTCCAGGAATCCTAAGGAAGTCTCCAGGAATCCGGAGGAATTCCCGAGGAATCCCAAGGAATGCTCGAGGAATCCTAAGGAAGTCTCTGTGAATCCTAAGGTTTCCTTTGTGAATCCTAAGGACTTACCCCGAAGATTCATAAGGAAGACGGTTCCAATAGAAAACCAATGAAAAACCATTGGTTCCCAATAGAAAACTAATAGAAACAATTGGTGTCCAATTGACAATTGAAAACTGATTAGAACCATTGGTTTCGAACAGAAAACTAATGAAAACCATTGCCTCCCAATAGGAAGCGAATTAAAAACCATTGGTTTCCAAAAAATATAACTTATTAAAACCATTGGTTCCCAATAGAAAACTAATAAAAACCATTCGTTCCCAATAAAAAACTAATAGAACCAATGGTTCCCAATAGAAAACTAATTAAAACCATTGGTTCCCAATAGAAAACTTATTAAAACCATAGGTGTTCAATAGAAAACGAAGCCAAACCATTGGTTTTCAATAGACAACTAATTAAACCAATTTGTTTTCAATAGACCACAAAGAAAACCAAACCCAAACCCAAACCCAAGCCCAAACCCAAACCCAAACCCAAACTTCCCCGGCCATAAGTCAGGTGTGACCCTAGAAGAAGTAGTAGTAGTAGTAGTAGTAGTAGTAGTAGTAGAAGTAGTAGTAGTAGGAGTAGTAGTAGTAGTAATAATAGTAGTAGTAGTGGTACGACTACTAGTAGTAGTAGTAGTAGTAGTAGTAGTAGTAGTAGTAGTCGTAGTAGTAGTAGTAGTAGTAGTAGTAGTAGTAGTAGTAGTGGTAGTAGTGTTAGTAGAAGTAGTACCCTTGGTAGTAGTAGTAGTAGTAGTAGTAGCAGTCGTAGTCCTAGTAGTAGTAGTAGTAGTAGTAGTAGTAGTAGTAGTCGTAGTAGTAGTAGTCGTTGTAGTAGTAGTAGTAGTAGTAGTAGTCGTAGTCGTAGTAGACGTAGTAGTAGTAGTAGTAGTAGTAGTAGTAGTTGTCGTAGATCAGACTTCTGGTTCTCTCGTAGTAGTAGTAGTAGTAGTAGTATAGTAGTAGTAGTAGTAGTAGTAGTAGTAGTAGTCGTAGTAGTAGTAGTAGTAGTAGTAGTACTAGTACTAGTACTAGTACTAGTACTAGTACTAGTACTTGTTCTAATACTAGTACTAGTACTAGTAGTAGTCGTCGTATTAGTCATAGCCTTAGTAGTAGTTGACAAGCATACTGGTCGTAGTTGTTGAAGTAGTGGTAGTAGTAGTCGTAGTTGTAGTTGCAGTAGCACGAGTAGTAGTAGTAGTAGTAGTAGTAGTCGTAGTCGTAGTCGTAGTATTAGTAATCGTAGTAGTAATGATCGTAGCAGCAGTCGTGGCAGCAACAGCAGCAGTAGTAATAGTGGTAGTCGTAGTAGCAAACGTAATCTTAGTAGTAGTAGTAGTAGTAGCAGTAGTAGCAGTAGTAGTAGTAGTAGTAGTAGTAGTAGTAGTAGTAGTAGTAGTAGTAGTAGTAGTTGGTGTTGTAGCCGTAGCAGTAGTACCAGTAGTAGTGGAAGCCGTGGAGGGAGTACTAGTAGTAGTAGTAGTAGTAGTCGTAGTAGTAGTAGTAGTTGTAGTAGTAGTAGTAGTAGTAATAGTAGTAGTAGTAGTAGTAGGAGCAGTAGTAGCAGTAGTAGTCGTAGTAGTAGTAGCAGTAGTAGTAGTAGTCGTCGTCGTCGTAGTAGTAGTCGTAGTTGTAGTAGTAGCAGTAATCGTAGTCGTAGTAGTAGTAGTAGTAATAGTAGTAGTAGTAGTAGTAGTAGTAGTAGTCGCCGTCGCCGTCGTCGTCGGCGCCACCGTAGTAGCCGTGGTCGTAGGAATAAGTTTAGCCGACGTCTTCGTATAGTCGCAGCCGTACTATTGCTGTGATTGTTGCGGCTTCTAGTGGTACTAGTACGGCTACTGCGACTATTAGTTGAACTCTACCATTATTTCTACGACTACGGCTACGCCTGCTATTGCTACTCTTATTTCTTCTACGGCGATTCGTATTACTTCTGCCACTACCTGTATTGTTTGTTCGATTATGAAATGCTACCTCGAATAATGCTGCTACGACGATTCGCAGGCGCATGCTTATGTTCACTACTGCGACTACTACTGCTGTTCTAACTACCTATTAATACTACTTGTAGTACTACTACTAGTACTACTACTAGTACTGCCACTAGTATTATGGCTACTACTACTACTACTACTACTACTACTACTACTGCGACGACGACTACTACTACTACTACTACTACGACTAGTACTACTACGACGACAACTACTACTACTACTACTACTACTACTACTACCATGATTATTACTTCTAGTAGTACTACTACGACTACTTCTACTACTACTTCTACTACTGCTACTACAACATGTATTATTATTATTACAACTACTACTAGAATCACTTTCGCTACTATAGTTGTTACTACTTCTTTCGCTACTAGTACTACTACTACTACTAGTACGAGTACTACTACTACTACTACTACTACTACTACTACTACTACTACTACTACTAATACTACTACTACTACGACGACTACTTTCACTAATATTGCTACTACGACTACTACAGCCATGGTCATTATTACCATTACGCCTACAGGTCGTGTTGCTACTGTTGCTGCTACTAGTGCAACTACTGTTGCTAGTACTACGACGACGACGATGACTACTACTACTAACAACAACAATAACTTTTACTACTACTACTACTACTACCCCTGCGACGTCTAGTGCTACTGCTACTACTACTACTACTACTACTACTTCTATTAGTACGACTAGTCGTAGTAGTAGTAGTATTACTACTACTACTACTACTACCACTACTATTATTACTACTACCACTACTACTACTACTACTACTACTACTGCTACTACTACTACTACTACTACTACTACTACTACTACTACTACTAGTACTACTAGTAGTACTTGTACTAGTACTACTACTACTACTACTACTACTACTACTACTACTACTACTACGACTACTACTACTACGACTACGACTACGACTACGACTACGACTACTACTACTTCACCTACTACTTCTGCTACTACTACGACTACTACTACTTGTCTTTCTATTTCTATTCATGTTTACTTCTTCTTCTACTACTACTACTACTACTACTGTTTCTAGTACTACTACAACGGCCACCACTGCCACTGGTGAGTCTGGCGAGTCCAGGCGACACCAGTCCAGTGCCGCGATGGCGCGTGGAATTGGCAACAGGGCTGCGCGCGTCATTGCGAAACGCAGGGCCGCTCACAAATGAGGACACGTCCAGGACTTACTTGGTGCGCAGCCGCGTGCCTTGCCATTCCTCCTCCACGCCCTCGTTTCGCGACCCGCGGGCAGGCCCTGACGTGCCTGCCCAACGTGCGCGCTGGCGAGTGCGGGGCGACGCAGTGCTGCATATGCATCAGCGACCTGGACCTCCCTCCTCCCCTCCTCCGCCCCCTCCTCGTCGCTCCCCTTCTCGCCGTCCTTCCTCCTCACTCTTCTCCTCCTCGCCCCCTCCCTCCTCCTCCCATCCCCCCTCCTCGCCCTCCCTGCCCCCCTTTTGCATCCCCCTCCTGCACATGCTCTCTTTCTCTCTTCCTCTCTCTCCTCACGTCCGCTCCATCCTCCTCATTCCCCTTCTGCTCCTCTTCTTCCCCCCCTCCTCCTCCCCGGCTCCTCCTCATTCGCCCTCTCCTCTCTCCTCCTGCTCCCTCTTTCCTCAACCTTCATGCTCCCTCCTCCCCTCCCGTCCCTCCTCCCTCCCCCTCCTCCCCTCGTCCTCCTCCGCCTCTACCTTCTCCTCCCCCATCCTTCTCCTCCTTCCTCATTCTATCTCCTCCTTATGTATCTCCTTCTTCTCCTCTCTCTCCTCCTCCTCCTCCTCCTCCTCCTCCTCCTCCTCCTCCTCCTCCTCCCCCTCCTCCTCCACAGTTGCATCATATGAGTACGTTCCCCCCTCTCCCCTGATGTTTTTTGTTTATCGGGAAGGCCTTACAGCTGGTGCCGCTGACCCCGAAGGGGGTCGACGACGACGACGACGACGACGGCGCCAGCGCCGGCGGCGGCGACCACGAGGCTGACGTGGGGCGGAGTCGTCGTCAGCTTCTTGCTTGGCGGCATCTTGGGGGCCTCGTGGGAGCCGCTTCCTGGGGGCCTCTTGGGGGCAGCTTGTGGAGAAGGTAGGAGGAGGAGGAGGAGGAGGAGGAGGAGGAGGAGGAGGAGGAGGAGGAGGAGGAGGAGAAGGAGGGGTCTGCCTCTCGGGGACCGCTCTGGGGCCTCCCGAGAGCTTCTCGGGCCCGAGGGCGCGAGCTCTTCGTTCGGGCTTCCGCGCCGGCGCCCTCTCGGAGCTGCTCCCGGGGGGGCCCCGGGGGCCACCCGGGAGGCCCGCGGGGCCGCCTCGGGGCCCTCTTTTGGTCGTTCTGGGGGCCGTCCTGGAAGCCTCTTTGGGGGCCTCTTGTGCTGTGTGCTGATCTCGGGGGCATCCTGGGCCGTCCCGGGGCGTCGGGGAGCCGAAAAGGCGAGAGAGCGCCAGTACCGTTCAGAAGCCCGAGAAGGGCACCTTGGAGTGCCGCGTCTTGGGGCCCCCTTGGTGTGGTCTTGGATGCCTCTTCGAGCGTCTTGGCAGCCGCGTGGGCTGTGAGGGGGCCGTCTCTAGCGTCCTGCACATATCGTTCGGCGATTCGGGGCCCGCTTGGACCGTCTTGGGAGTCTTGGGGGCCTCTTGGGTTTTCTTATTTTTTTAGAGCCCCAGGACCCCCTCGGGGAGGAGCGTATTCTGACCCAGAGCTCCCTCCCCCCAGCCCCCTCCCCCATCCCTAGGACCCCCCCCCTCGGGGGGGAAGGGAACAAAGGGACGATCTTCTGTGTTTTGAAAACGTTCCAAAATATTCCCGCATCTGGTTTTTAACGCGAGATTGTCCTGAGTTAGCGTGCGGTACGGAACGTTCCAATCACAATGTATTTGGTCATTCAAAAATGTGGTCCCGCTGCAGTGCGAGTCGCATTTCAGGATCTCTCGCCCAAGCGTGGGCCTCACTTCAAGATTCGGTTCGTTCCTCGTCGTTGCTTTTTCCCTGTTTTTCCCTCCTCCGCCTTCCTCTGGTCCTCCTGCTCCTTCCGCTCCTCTTGCTGCTCCTCCTTCATCTTCATCATGCTGCTCTCCTTCTGGCCCGTCCACCGCATCCTCCTTCTTGTCCAAGGTACGCCGTCAGTGCAGGGGGCCAGGATGGCTGCCTGATGCTGCGCGGGCACACCTAGCTTGCCCTCCTTCCCCTCTCCATCCCCCTCTCCCTCCCTCTCCTCGCCCCCCTCACCAGCTGGCGGCGGCGCTTTCGATCAGCAGCGGCTCTATCTCCCCCCCCAGGAAAGCCACGATGGCGGAACGTTGTCATGTTCGGTTGCTGTGCGGCACCCGCAGCAACTTCACACATCACTTGCATTGCAACGTGAGTGCCGTCATGACGCCATTTCTTGGTAGTAATATATCTCTTGTCACGCATCGCCTGCATCAGCAACCGCAGCCTTATATGCAGTACGGGAGAAACTGGGACCATCTTTTGGGGCACCCTGCGCCAGCATCCTGGATGCGCTGTTTGGCGGCTGCCGCGCGGGCGCGTGCCCAAGCATACAGAGGCCAGAGGAGAAGGAGGAGCAGGAGGAGGAGGAGGAGGAGGAGGAGGAGGAGGAGGAGGAGGAGCTGGCCTGGTAGCCGGTCGGGCGCCCGGGCGCGGAGAAGCAACCCTGCATGTCTACGTCGCGCTCCTCCTGCTGACCAGTGGGGGCGGGTGTGCGTTGGCGTGCAGCGCACGCACACTCGGGCGACGGTCGACGGGGGGCAGAGGCGACAGAGCACGGGAGGGAGGCGGCGGCGGAGAGCACCGCACCGCCATTGCGTGGGATACACCGCGGCCCGGTCGGCTCGGGGCCGAGGAGGCGGCGTCGAGAGGGGTCGAGGCGGAGGAGGCGGAGGTGGAGGAGCTTTTTTTATAAAATCGGTTATTTCCATGTGCTCGCCTGCCTGCCGGCGTGCGCCCAGCGGCTCGACACGCTGGCCCCGCGTCAAGGAAAGCAGGCGGAGGACGCGGGGGCCGGACGGCGCTTCCGCGGCGCCCCGTCCCAGACGGGGCCGCGAGCGAGCCGCGGGGCCCTCTGGCAGAGGAGGTCTTGCCGCCGGCGGAGGGCCCCGGGGGGGCCGCTCTCGCCCCTCGCGGGCGGCCGATAGGGTGCGCGCAGCGGGCTGGTCGCCGGCGTTGATCCCCGCTCCCACGGCGGCAGGCGGTGCGGAGACCTTGGCCCCAGGACGACGACGGCGACCACGACCACCACGACCACCACCACCAAGACCACCAAGACCACTACGACCACGACCACGACCACGACCACGACGACCACGACGACGACCACAGGAGGCGGCTGGCAGGAGCCGCGGCCGCGCGCTGCGCCGCAGCGTGCGACCGCTAGTGGAGAGCAGCGAGAGGGCGGCGTCTCGACGGAGCTTCAAAAACGCGTCGCGTTCGACCTGGAAGCGCTTTGCAACGCTTCCGCAGCGTTCGGCAAACGATTTCGCATCGCGTCGCACGCGCTACACGGGCGTTTACCCACGCGTTTCCCCTTGTGAGGCCACTTCGTATAAATCCATCTCGTATAATTCCATCGTGTACATAACTATCAGTGAGGAATCCCCGTGCAGAGCGCAGCTCATGCGCCGAGTTCAGAAGGGAATCTGCGGCAATTCGGATTTCGTTTTCGGAGAGCTGCGCAACATTTGAATGTTTGCTGTTCGCATCCGCGCGCCATTTCCGTATAGCATCTCATTCCGTGTTTTTTTTTCATTGCACGTATCATGTCCGTAGTTTTCAATTCGATGTTCAAGCATGCGAGAAGACGTCCTTATTGCTCACGCTCGAAAGACTCATTCTGGCGCGCTTGTTCTCCGTGGCGGGAGGGTCAGTGCACGCAGCTTTGTGGCTCCTTCGCTTACACCAGCTGTACTAGGTTCCGGACGGTAGCCAGGTCGATGTTTTACTGCCGGGATCCAGTATTTCCTATCAGGGTTGTGGGCAGCACGCACTATTCTTTCGGATCGATGCGCGACGTCACATGTAGTCATTTGCTACTGCGGCGGGCGATCTTGTGTGCGGGCGTCAGATTTCCGAGGGCGTTTGAGGTGCAAGAAAAGTCGCAGAGTTGATTCATGAACACATGGTCGCCCCCCATCTGATCTCACGTGGTGCTCTTCGTTTTTCGCGCCTTCCTGCCCATGTGGGTCCCTGGTCGAATATGCGGCTGGATGAGTAGCGGCGTCTAGGAATAATTTGATGGCGGAGCAGGAAGCCTTTGGAGGTGCCGGGGAGCCTCTGGAGGTCCCCCCCCGCACAAACAGAGACACAAACATCCTTCCATCCCTCCCTGCCCCCACTCTTCCCCTCTCCCCCTTGCCCTCTCAATCCACTTGGGTCATCCTCCCTCCCTCGATCCTCCCTCCCTCTCTCCCTCCCTCGATGGGGATGGAGTCGGGCAGGGCCAGGACGAGGACAAATCCATTCCAGAGCATGCCGGAACACTCCGAGAAGGCCGCGGCGTCCGAGACATCCTCCAGCGCCGTCGGATCGCGGATACTCTCTCGAATTATCCTCCCCTTCATCTGTCTTTGTCCTGGCTTCGTCCAAGGAAAGAGGGGACGCTGGGATCCCGCAAAAGATGTGTGTGTGCCCCGTGATGTGTGTGTGTGTGTGTGTGTGTGCGTGTTTGTGTGAGTTTTTTTTTTTTTTGTGTGTGTGTGTGTGTGTGTATGAGAGTTCGATCGTTTTTGGCACCGAACCGCGCAAAACAGATGCCCCCCAGCCGCCGGCAGCTCCCGCTAGTTGCCGATGGCTGTGGCATGCGGGGGTCTGCTGATTGCGGCAGTTCGGTGCACCAGCGGAGCGAGCTCCTGCCCCCACCCCCCTCTTGGGTTAAGTCGGGCCTGTCCCTCAGGGGGAATCTTCAAAAATGGGGAAAAATGCTCTGGGGACGATTTTCCTAGCATTTTTGGGGGATTTGGGTGTATTTTTAAGTATTTCTGATTTTTCATCCACTATCCTCCTGTAGGAGGACAGGCCCGACATACCTCTTGTTCCATCCCCCCCCCCCTGTGGCGGATCCCGGTGGAGGGGTGCCGCCAGGAGCCGCTCGAGCAGCTCGTGCAGCTAGGCGAGGGGGCCTGCGCCGTCTGCCGCCGGGCCGCCCCCTGGGCGGCAGGAGCCCGTGCGGCTCCGACGGGGGGCCGTGCTCTGCGGCCCTCCGGGCTGCGGGCTGCAGGACAAGGCAGCGCAGCGGGATGCCAGGCAGCGCCACGCGCCGCGAGGCAGCGCCGCGCACGTG